CGTTTGCCTTGGCGATCTATTTCGGCATGCGTCTGGATCCGCCGCACGGTTCTTTTGAGCTCTGCGGCTACAGTGTTCTCCCTGCCCTCACTCCTCTGCTTGTGCTCAATCCTGCAGTATGAGGCTGGAGCCTGAAACTGCTTCACCCTGCAGGCTTCACCCTAATCCATTTGGTACATTTGGTTCTGGCTCGGACGATGTAACGATGTCATTTCTGGCTGCATGCTTCTTGCATCTCGTCCTGGAGTCCCGGCCACGCGATGACTCTCTATCGTGGCCCGCGACGACTTTGCCCGTGGACCTGGTACAAGCTCGGCGATTCTCCCACAGGTTACTTGGTCCCTCTCTTCTCCTCTGTCGTTTTGGACTCATTCAGATTCTGATAAGGTTACTACACACACAATGCCCGAAATTCTACCTATGTCGTCCACGCCGTCTGGTACCTCCACCCCTGCGCTTCGACGGCCGCCGTCTACGTCCACACCGCAACGAGGCTGAACGAGCATGCAGCACTCCGCGTCGCCCTCTCCCTCTCCATCTTCGTTTATCTACGAACACAACTCCATTAACGATGAATCATCACGTCTGTCTCAATGTGGATCGCGGTACTCAAGCTACAGGTTCTGCTCGCAATTTTGTTTCTTTGGATGTTGATTTAACAACACAGTGTACCCATGCCCCGGTTCACCGACACTCCATATTCACAATCTTTCTACTAGACTTTTTTTATGCAGAAGGATGTCCTCAATAGTCGTTCCAACAGTAACCTGAAGTGTGAAGCCTTCCTGAAAAGCTCGATGACGATGGAGGTAGCCCAGAAAGCAGCCTTGGACCAAGGAACGGATTCAAGCGAGCTTAAGCTTTACAATTATATCATGTTTCTCTCATCAAAATAATTATTCGTCTCTGCATAATTGTGGCCAAGCTACGTTGTTGAGCTAGCTGTGAGCATTATGGGAAGGTTCGGCACTCGCCGCCTGCGGCCCTATCCCAAAGTCATGTCGTATGTACATACTTGATAATGGAATCGCATCTGTACACTTTCCGAAAGCGGTGTAGAAACTTGCGTTCTTGACTCCCAACATGACTCGCGGCTCCGAGCGTCCATACCTCCATGTCCTCTGCAGGCCCTGCCATCCAATCTAAACAACTCGGAGTCTATCGCATCGTAACAGAGAAATACTCGGTCAACAACCAATGGTCGAAAAAAGCTCGCCAGGGACTCTGCACGCTGCTCCGCCTGACGAATGACATCTACGACACCGCTGGCCCGTGGTCGTTTGCCCTTATGCTGGTCTTGACGGTTTGGGTGGACGTCTTCGATCGGACGGTGGGGTTGCATTTGGTGGGGAGGGTGTTGGCTGTGATTGAGGAGGGTCTCAAGGCCGGGCGTGTGGACGGCGTGACTCTCGCTTGGGCGGTGGCTCTTCGGACGCTTGGACTGGGACTCACGACGGGCCTTGGTTATTGGGGTGCACGGCTTAGGACGAAGATGGATTCGAGGTTCGAGGCCAAGATGCAGGAGTTTGTGCTCAAAAGTGCGTTTTTATTACCACCCTCTTTCCATACTGACTGTGCCCCAAAGCCAAGCTCGCGACGGACCTCACTGGCGTCTCTGCGAACCTCAGCACAAGCCAAGCCGCTGAACAAGTCTCATTTTCGGCTTTCATACAAATCCTCCGAGCACTCACCGTCTCGCTGGGTACGGCGCTCCAGCTCGGCTACGTTTTCCGCCTCGTGCGCTCCACCGGCCACGGACCCATCCTCGCGTTCGTATGCCTAGCGCATCCTGTCCTCGAATTTTTGATGCAGCCGACGCTTTGGACGATTTCGCACATCGTCGAAGCTACGGATCCGCATTATTTGCGGATGAACAGTCTGCGTAGGCTTGGTGAGGCGAGGTATAGGCAGGATATCCTTATGGGCGATGTTGTGGGGTATGTTCTGCGAGGTATGCTTTCATTCGTTGCGAGGAATTGGTGGCTCATCTTCCTCAGAGTTCCGGAGGTCGGTTGAGTTGCTGGGGGACACGGACGTTGGCCAGCCCTACGTGCAATACGAGAGGATGGGGCACTCTTCGCATCTTGCCCTCAAAATCGCTAAAGAACTCCCGATGGTATGTGCGTCGACTGTATACGCAGCGTGTCTGAAGACGATTTACAGCTCTACTACGCCGCGATAGCCATCCTGAACCCCGGCGCATTCACTCTGTCTACACTAGCGACTCTGCATCAGAGTGAGAGTATGCTCTCGCGGATGTTTGTGGAGATCGTGTTTTACGTCCAGCATGGAGCACCCCGGCTCGCGTCCGTGCAGACGGTGTACGACCTCGAAAAGTCTGTGCACGAGATGCAGGATGGGGACCTCGCTTACTCTCCGCACGAGCAGGGCATGTCCTTCGAGCTCAGGTGGGTCCTCTTTCACCGGCACGACGCAGTCTGACCGTGTCGCAGGAACGTCTCGTTCTCATACCCAGGCACGACAGCCAAGGCGCTGAACGACGTCAGCCTTTCCATCAAGCCCGGGCAGCTCGTCGTCATCGTCGGAAGCAACGGCTCGGGGAAGAGCACCATAATCAAGCTGCTCACGCGGCTGTACGATGCGACTTGCGGTTCCATCCTCGTTGACGGGCAAGACATCAAGGACTATCGGGTAGCGGATTTGAGGATGGCGATGGCGAGTCTGACGCAGGATCATCATCTTTACCCGCTTTCACTGGGTGAGAATATCGGGCTGGGGAATCCTGCGAGGGTGGGTGATGTGGAGATGATTTGGGATGCGGCGAGGCTGGGCGGGGCGGAGGGTGTTGTTGACAAGATGACGGATGGGTTGGGGACGGTGCTCGAGTGGCCGAGGGGGTTGCAGTGGAATAATGTGGGCAAGGGGAATCAGGCTGTGGACCCAGAGCTCAGGGCGGCGGTGGGGAACATGAAGAAGCAGGTGGCTGTTTCTGGTGGGGAGAGGCAGAGATTGGTCGCGTATGCTCCTTTCCATTTCTACGCATTCCCGAGCTGACGAGTCTTTAGATCGCGGACATTCATGCGGTTCACCTCTGGCACCGTCAAGCTCGTTTGCGTGGACGAGCCGAGCAGTAATCTGGATCCTCAGGCTGAGTGGCAGTTGTTTGACAATCTTAGGCGGGTGAGGGAGGGCAAGACGATGATTTTCGTGACGCATCGGTTTGGGCATTTGACGAAGCATGCGGATGTGATTTTGTGTATGAAGGAGGGGGATATCGTCGAGTCTGGGACGCATGAGGAGCTTATAGAGATGGGTGGGGAGTATTGCAGGATGTTTGATATTCAGGCCAAGGCCTTTGATTAGATTTTTGCAGTAGAATGCTCATGAGCGTATGTGAGCGTCATGCGAATTGATCCATTCCCTTTCTCGTCCACACCACCATCTCTCAGAAACAACTTTTGCCTAAAGCATGGCCTACACTTCTGCACGCCGCAGACCAGGCACCTCCGCCCCTGGAGACGGCTCGCGAACTATCACAATAACAAACGCACAACCTGAGGAAGATGATGCTGGTGGACCTTCAAATCCAGAAGACCCTATCGGTGCACTGCATCTGACGGGTGGGGCACCCCGCAGATCGAGGCCCCGTGTTGCTTGGGACGAGGGTGTCGTGGATAACGAGGGATGTGGGCGCAAGTCGTCGAAGAGTGCGTTTTGCTCGCTGTCTTACTTGGCTCGATCTTGGTGCTTATGGGGCGTCAGTATGCTGCATATATCACAAGCCGAAGCGGTTTGACGAGTCTTCGGATGAAGATTCCTCGGATTCGGATGAGGACTCGGATTCGTCGGTGGATGACGGGCGGGCGAGGAGGAGTAATAATAATTCGAATCCGCATCGACACCACCCCCATCCTCACGCAGACGACCACGACCATGGCGGCGCCGCTGCTGTTCGAGACCCTTCATCCTCTTCTGTCACGGAGCTTGAGGAGCCTTCAAGACCTAATACGTACGAGACGGTGCCGGCTGGGAAGAAGGGCAAGGGAAAGCGGGGATCTGGTATGTCTGCTGTGCTTATACTCCTTTGCTGTTCGCTGAAACTGTGCTCACAGGATAGTGACGTTCTGTACCTTGTATTCTTCCTCATCTGTACACACGGCGCAATAGAAGTTTGCATTCTACCACGCTGACTCAGGACAATCACTTGCTCGTTCGCTTATTATGACTCGACCTACAACCACCATTGTCGTCTTTGACCCTGCTGACCCAGCGCACACCGCCCTCTTGCCGTCGTTCGCAGACATCCACATCGAGTGCATCGAGACCGACGGTGCAGTCGCCACCTTTGTGCGCCCGGTAGAACGAGATGCTGTCCTCGCGTATTGGAACGAGCGCGCAATGGATGCCGTGTCGGAGAAACGGGTCATCATTATGGCGCTCGCAGAAGCAGCCGATGAAGGGGCGAAGCAACTCGCGGGGTGTGTGGTGCTGTACAGGCCTTTGGGACAGACGGTGTGTATGATCCTAGTGTGCTAAGTGTGGATGGACAAAGACGTTTGTAGGCCCCAAAGAACGGATGTATCGAGAAGCTGATGGTTTCGCCCAACTTTCGTCGTTTGTGAGTTACTTGGATTCCTCCAGGCTTGGGACTTACGTCGATGCTAGGGGACTTGCCCAGAAGCTCATGATCAAGGTCGAAGTGGAGGCCAAAGTCTATGGACAGACCATACTCGTACGTCGTCCGTCTCTGTACCTACCGCGCTTGACTTGGGCAGACACTGGACACTTACGCGGGCGGCCCTGCTGTGACGCTGTACCCAAAGTTGGGATACAATACGGTGCGCTGCTTGTATTTACAGCCACTTCTTCCCTTCGCCTCACCCAGGGACAGTTGGGCGTCATCCCGAACTTCTTCGTGGGCCCGTTGGATGGTAGACCGTTGGATGGGATATTCTTTTGGAAGCAGATTTGAGAATTTTCAAAAAGATTTTGGTGTTAAAGACTTGACTGTATACATGGTGGCATGATATTGAGTACCGGCATTAATGGGGTAGTGGTAACCTGGGTCGTTGCCATTAGAAGATTCAACTGGAGTCTCGACCCGCCGGGGGTTCGATTCCCCCTTAATGCATATGTCTGGTGCAAGTACCTTCTTTTTGTCTGCTCACCTGGTCCCCGACATGTTCTCTTTTCTGAACTCTGACTTTTCCACAAAAACCCGTTCCATTCTCTTGCCTAACATCCGTCTCGGAGTCCACATATTCGTCGTCAACTTGCATGACCAATCCTCTTGGTTGCCTTGATTGTGGCTGTGTCACCCCTGCGTCCTTCCCTATCCTTCCAACTTCCTTCAAGCTTCCTCCTGCGCCCTTGCTTCTTACCAGTCTGCGCTCACCGCCATGATTGGCGGCAGCCGTGCCTCCAATTTTACCAGGGCCTTATGTCATCCAACCCTGCCCCCCTCCACCCTTTTTTCGCGCGTCAGGTTTTCCCCCAGCACCCGCTGCTTCCATCACACTAGGCGCGACGCGCGGCCTGTCTCCCGTACACGGTCATCCCAGAACCCTCTGCTCCCCGAACTTCCAGAGCTTTTCGATCCAAACTTTCTCGATGCTCTGATCCCGCCTTCAGCCGACGTGAAGCCTGCCCGTGTGCAAGTCGATGCCTCGAACCCGATGATGGATGCCCTGCATACGTTTTCGCATCGCACTTTGACGGAGAATGGGGCGCAGGCGTATGACTCGACGCTTTCGCCGACGTTGGATGCTTTCAATTTTTTGACGCATTTTACTTTTGGGGAACAGATCGGAGAGCGTTTGGACAAGGTGCGCGCTCTCTTGCTGCTGCCATCGATATCGCTAACGCTGGCTAGGCATGGGCAGAGGATCCGGCGATGACTCTCAAGATCATATGGAATCTACGTAGTATCCACGAGGGAAAGGGAGAGAAAGAGGCTTTCTATCGGTATGCACTGAATTCCATGAATGTGGCAGCCGCTGATTGTTCTCTAGTGCGTTTGGCTGGCTGTACGACAAACACCCTCGTACCGCTATAACCAACCTCCCTCTGCTGGTTACACCGGTGTGCGAGAAACCGGGTCAGGCGTACGGGCTTGCGCATGGATACTGGAAGGACCTTTTGAATATCCTGGCACTCGCTACCGTCGACGAGCTGAGCAACATCTCACGGCCCGCCGTTTTCCTGCACAATAAAGGGAAATCGAAACCGAAACGTCGCCGGCGTCACGGCCATCCGCGCCCTCCTCGACTCGAAATTGACTTGAAACCCGTCATCAAGGCTATGCGGTCTGCCGTTGGTGTAGCGAATCACGCCCGCTTACATCAGAAGCTCGCTGACCCCAAGTACCGTGCTCTCTATGTCGCAGTAGCGCGCCTCTTCTCCGCGCGGCTCCTCGCAGATTGGAGTCTCTGGAAGTCAGGTGACCAGGCCGTTCTTCGAGATATCTCACTTGCACCAAAGTGGGCCCCCAGCCCGCTCGGCACGCACGACCGGCATAGTAACATCTCCACCGCCATCGCACGCCTCGTCTACCACGACGGCTCCGCACTGGCGCTTCCCTCCGCTACTTTTCCATCCGCGCTCAAGGACCTCTCGCTCGACACCCCCGAGGCGACGGACATTCTCCGCTCGTACTACCGCCGCTGGGTGCTCACCCCTCTCCGGGCAGCGACGCGCGTCACCGAGACGCTCATGTCGGCCAACCGATGGAAAGACATCTCCTACAGCGGTGTGAGCTCGGTGTGTATGAAGAACAACAAGGGCCATTTCTTCCGGCACGACCCCGAGGGGTTCCAAAAGTACCTTATATCGGTGGAGAAGGGGAAGCGGTCGATAACCGGGGCGACGCTCAAGCTGCACGAGCTCATCGGCGAGCTCGTCTCCGTCCAAGCAGAGTCCTCCCCGTACCCCGAGCTGCAGGAGCACCGCGAGGCCCAAGCAGCGATGCAGCGCCGAGTGATTGAGGCGCAGTGGAACTCGTTGGTGCAGAATCTGCGCGAGGCGGGGACAATTGACAATAGGGGAGGTCAGAGTGGACAGACCTCGAGCGAAACTGCGACGAAACTCACTTCGAAACTGCATTGAGTTTCGACCGATAATCGAAGGTGATCTTTGACCGCCTCGTCACGGATTCGAAACTGCCAGAATCGATTCTCGTCGATTCTCGGCTAATAACCGAGTTTCGTTCGAGTTTCGATTCAGTTTCGAATGGAGTTCCTCCTCCCGAGGAGGAACTGCTCAAGATTTCGAAACTCGCCACTTCGAAACTCGAACGAAACTGTAGTCTCTCTCGACAGACTATCGCTCCGTAACCTCCGCGAATATAACGAAACTGCCTCAGTTTCGAAATAGTTTCGAGAGTTGTTTCTTTGCTGTTTCCTTTGGGTTCCATCCACTCTGACCTCCCCTAATGCTATCGCGGTGTGCGACGTGTCGGGGTCGATGGGGTGCTTGCATCACTACGACCCCAAGAACGTGCTGCCCATCTTTCCATCCGTATCGCTCTCCCTCCTCCTCGCGCAGCTCGCCAAACCGCCCTTCAACTCCGGGTTCATCACGTTCTCGCAGGACCCAGAGTTCGTGCGGTTGGATTCGAGCAAGGGCTTGGCTGAGGTGGTGGGGGATATGGTGCATTCCAGCTGGGGTATGAACACGGACCTCAATGCCGTGTTTATGAAACTCATCCTCCCCTTGGCCGTCAAAAACAAAGTCAAGCCGGAGGATATGATCAAGCGCGTATTCGTGTTCTCCGATATGCAATTTGACTCATGCGTCGTCAATAGGGGGCCGAGGCGTCCGAAGTCGTCGAGGGACTTGTACGTCATCGACGAGGATTATTCCAGGCCGGAAGTGGAAACGGAGTTGTCGTGGGAGTCGAATTATGATCGGATTGAGAAGGCTTTCAAGGAGCGTGGGTACGAGGTGCCTGAGATTGTGTTTTGGAATCTTGGGGCGCAGGGGACGGTGGAGGTGGAGAAGGATAGGAAGGGTGTGGCGATGATGAGTGGGTTTTCGCCTGCGATGCTCAAGGTGTTTATGGGCGAGGCGGAGGTCGAGGTCGAGGTCGAGGTCGAGGCTGAAGGTGAAAGTGAGAATGGCAATGGAGAGGAGAAGGGAATGAAGAAGCGGACGAAAACGGAATTCACTCCGCTGAATGTGATGAAGCAGGCGTTGGAGACGCTGGACTGGTCGTGGTCGATTGAAGGAGGAGTACGTATTACATTAACCCCCGTTGCATAACCCCACATTGTATCAATAGCACCGACTGCACAATTCTCACAACTCACATCTTTCGAGTACAACTCGCAGATCCTGAGATTGACAATTCGAGGATTACATACTGCCTGTATTGCACGTTTTCCTTCCCATAAAGGTACAGCAAGAACGAGCTACCAGGGGCATCAGTCAAGGACGCAGGTGAGATCAGCAAACGGACTTTACGAAAGAACAAGAAGCCATGGGTCCAACCCGCCACCCGCCAAAGAAACCCACTCGCTAACCCACTCGCTCGGACGCTCCCATCAGTCGGACGTCTTACGATCTTCGACTCGGATATCGCGTGGCGGCGTCAACTGTGTGCAGCATGCGCGTCGACCGGACAGGCAATGATGCCCCCGAGAGTACATACACTGCTTCAGCTTGACGTCCACGAGCCCGTGCGCAACATGCTCAACGAACCTAAGGTGTGCCCACTGCGACACCCCGGGTGTACATCCACCGCGCGACGGGCTTGAAGATGTCTTGACCGAGATCTTTCTTGAGGATAAGACGGGCTTGAGGGTGGGGGATGTCGACGACGGAGGAGCGGGTGTTCGATGGGGTTCTACGTGGAGGTTAATGAGTGGTGGAGGATGGTGGATAGAGGATCGAGGACCTACGGATCGTGGGTCAGCATTGATGTAAGGCCGATCATGATTAGCACGATCGTTGAGAATGTGGCCAGCGACGACGAAGAGCGTCTGTGGGTGTGATGGGGGACGCCGGACAGTATGAGGAAAGTCGAATACCCTGCCCATGACATCGTCGACGATATTTGTGGGTCCATGTGTGACGACCGACGGCGACGGGTCGGTGGGCGCTGGGGGCAATGAGCGAGAGCAGAGGGCCTTGGGGAGTCCAACGTACCTTACAGCGATGCCAGCGATGTCGAGAGCAGCGCCGGCTGGACGTGTGGGTGCATGAGGGTAACGACGACAATCTAGAAGGGAGATGAGTTGATGGGCGACGATGAGGGAAGGAAGGGGCGTACTGCAGTGAGAAGCGACATCCCTTGAAAAGAGGAGCAGGTGGTGGTAGAAGAGAAAGGGCTCTGGGAGTCTCGTGGGGAGTAAGGCGGCCTTTTATACCCCGAAGGTTTGGTGGGTCCACACACATCAGTCACTCGCGTCACTCCCTCGTTCGAGAGCAAGGAGTCATCCACGCGACCCAATCGGCTGAGGGCGATTTGGGCGGCTCCCGGAGCCGGAGGAATGTCTTGCAGAAGCGGATTGGGGCTTCCAACTCTCTCTAAGGAAAGAGCGACGGCGTCCAGTAAAACTGGCGGAAGATTGCCATCCGCCGGGGCAGCCCCCGACCGCGACGTGCCGGGTGGTGGGAGCCGTTTCGCGGTCGAGGGGACGAGCGACTATCGTCAGTTCGTTGACGCGCTGTAACCTGTTTTCCTCATTGCCCACGCGAATGAGCCAGATTTGTTTGCGACACGCCCAAGCCGCCTACTGGACAGGCAGTGGACAACGACACGTGGATGCCACTCGTTCTGCCCTTTGGTGTTCCCCACAAAATCTGAGCAGAGGCCCCCTCCCCCCCGCGTGAGCGCTCAGCGAAGGTTGGCGAAGGACGCAGTTGATCAAGCGCATATTCGATCCAGGGCGGTCGAGTGCGCGAGAGAGCTCGGTGAGCGCGGAGGCGGGGAGGAAGTGCTGCCGACTAAACCACGAGTCGAGGTGATCACTCCGGCTTGATTCCGGCTCTCTTTCACTTGGGGTTCTGGGCCGTTGCAAAGCACGGCATGGACGAGAACTTACTTGGGTTTAAGTACATTGCACTCGGATCAAGTGCTTGTGGCTGCTGAACAGTGCAGTGTGAGAGTGAAAGCAATGTAGATCTGTGGCT